GTGTGTACATTGTACTGCATTGTGAAGATGGAAATCAGGTGTCTATATATGTATATTCTTAATAACCTCTATAGCTAGATACAAATCAACATATACATGTTTGTTTCACCTAGTTTGGTAAGGTCAAGCTTCTGGTTTCTGTAGGTAGAGTTGTATACTGTATAAAGGTGTGAGTGATTGAGAGGCGTGGTGAACTGTTTAGGAGGAAAAAAAATTAATTGGTCCAACTAAGACTGTAAGACATTAAAGATTATGGTAAGTGCGACCCTGACGCCCGTGCAGGTGGCGACGGATGATTCCTCTATGTAACATTACATGACGAAGCGGGTGTCTCGATAAGTAGAAGAAAGAGTGAACTATCCCGACAGCCAAGCGTGCGGAATTCAGGGGTATGGAGGCCTTTGGTGAGTTGTCAGAGATGAACAAAGATAAGCCCGCAAAAACAAGATGTAAGTTACCTCGATATGTACAATAAGCCACCTTCTTGTCAGGCAATCGCGGCGATCCACACTTTGGCGGGCATTAACGAAAAGTCAAAGATGGGCTTAATCAAGATAGGTGATTCCAACACCCCGGGTTGCTCCCCACAGCTAATGTTAGTCCATGATTGGGTGATTCCGACACCCCAGGTTGCTCCCCGCAGCTAATGTTAGTCCATGATTCTTGCATAGACAGGCCGGGCCATGTCTCCGGGTGGATGACATCTTTTTATAGGGTGGTGGTCGTTTTGGTTGCACAACAATTGTGCCTTACGGTTTTGGGCGTTGACACTCTTGTGTCTGGCTCAAAGTCAAACAATGTTCCCTGATGTTTATGTGTGTGCTTGTTTAAACCCTACCCCCAACCTTTAATTTTGTTTTTCTATCTTTAGTGTCTGTATTTCGGTTTTCACCCATTTTTGCCAGTTTCTTTTTAAATTACCCGGCCAACTCTCTTATTATATGATGTGGCAGAGCTCCCGCCTTTGCCTCAGCAAGCATTTAAAAAAAAAGATTATTGTGATAAGGGGAAAAAGCAGATCCAACGAAAGCATCTAGATTATGGTCTTGATTGGATAAACTAAAATAATCTAGGAATATTAATTAAGGGTCACTAGCACGGTTCCATTGTAAATATCTTACTTGAGCAAATGGAGACATGGTCATCAGGGTCTACATCCAAAGGGGGCTAGGTCCAACCTGATACAAAGACTAGAGGCAGAGCTTCAATGTTCTTAATAGTTTCCGTCAACAGTATCAAATTCTAATTCTTGTTTCAGAACAAGTATCAAATTCTAATCCATATGATACTTGAGTAGAAACCACATTAATTTAGATAATTCAGTTCGGAGCTCGAGCTCATCTATACCTAGGGAAAAGTAAAATCAAAACAAATAGTAAACAAAATTCAAAAAATCTGAAACCTTTTTGCGTGCAAAATGCTTCAATGCGCCAAGTGCTGCAAAAATTCACGGGTAAACGCCATTCGTGGAGCTCGCGCCAAAACGGACAATATCAGCTATGAACACTGCGCTTTTTCAAACTTTCTCACAGACCTGAATTTTTTCGTTTTTGCCATGAGTTCCTCGAATGTCCAAACTCCACCAAATTTGGCACGGGCATCACGCATTCGATCATCTTGCACCATAAAAAAATCATAAATTTTATAAAGTTTTCAGTTATTTTAAACGATTTCTTGATCACACCTGGGAACATCTGGACCTGTATGCAGAGTGACCGCGTCGCATTACTTACATTGTTACAACTAAAAATTACTCCCTCGCCGAGCTCAGCAAGCTTCCTCCCTTCCCAGTATATAGATGGATTCAAATCAATTAGCTTTCGCTGCCATGGCTGAAGGTGACCGGGTAGAGTGAGCACCACCACAGACAGAGCACAGGGACTAAAAATAAATAACCCAAGAGTGCTTGAGCACGTAAACCATTCCATTTGCAGTAATTATCTTCATCCCAGTAAAAAAAATCGTGCATTCGACGAGCAACTACTCTACTCTGACGCTGAGACCAGAAGGATTGAATTCAATTATATAAGCCTAGCGTAAGCTGCTTAAGATTATTTCTGTGTGTACAAACACCTAACAGGGTACAGTTATCGAACATCCATGACTCGAACACACCTGCTAGATGCAGGTTAAAACTTAGAATACAACATGGTGTCGAATTTGGCATACAACAAACGCTTGAACTCGCTGAGAATTGCAACCTCTATAGACATGATGATGCGCACACTGCCATCACCCTGTGCGCTGTCAATCAGGTGCACAAAACCTCCGCGGTTTGGTTCAGCACGGAACATAGCGAATGGCCTCCCCCAGCTGAAATCCGCATCGTACGACGGCATGCCAAGCCAGCTGACAACTCTAATGTCTGTCACGGGCAAATTGCCTGTAGCCGGGCGCTCGTCGTCCCTCTTTGCTAGCTCAAGGTAGTCGATTGCCGAATGCACTAGCTCGTCGTTCACCCGTTTGTGGGTGTCTCTAATTTGCCGCGCGATGTAGCTCAGCTCGCGTGAGGCGATGGCATGCGCTTTGTCGCCGACACTTAGGTTTATTATCGCATTGCCGAAGTAGCCGTCTGGGAGTGGTGGCCTCATGATGCGGCGGACGTTGGCCGAGAACATAAGTTGTGTCGTAGCATGCATTGCCACAGGTGGGCGCTCACGGCGCTAAACGTGCTCACGCCATCGCCACCAGATATGCGCTTGAGAGTGGAAAGTTGGTCCTTGGCAAGGGTGAAGACCAGAACCTCGTTGATGACTGGCCCTGGCTGCGGGGGTAGGTTTATCTTGGGGCTAAAAATGGAAAGTGCGTCGGGATGAACAACAGGTGGATCACGCGCACACAAGCGCGAGCGGTCATGGCAGTGGAGGTTCACCATAGCCCGGTCGCCGTCTCTGGAGAAAGCTGACCATGTCCTGAAGAAGTGGAATACAACAGATCCGTCCATAGCAGCATGATGGATTGCCGACCCTAAGACCACCCCACCACACTTTAAGAATGTCACCTACATACATATATGGATTAATTTGTTGTACATATTACTAATTGCTTCTGAATAGTACTAGATGTTAGTTCTGTTAATTGTAGGTGTAGTTAGTAATTGATTTGGATAGAAATGACGTGAGGAACAAACAGCCTCCTCTGCTTCGTTGATGGCTTGAAATCGCTGAAGTCATCCATGGTGAGACGAGAGTGAGCCATGAGGAAGAGCGTGCCCTTGCCGTTGCAGTCGATCTCCAACCTGCCGTCTGCACCCGCCCTCAAGCGGCCGGCCAGGGGATAGAAGGGCACAAGCGCCTTGCTCAACGCCGTCTTCAACCTGGTCACATCGAAGAAGTCGTCTCCGGCGGTTTCTGGTCGGCGGTAGAAGTGGACGAGTGGGGTGTAGCCTCTACTGGCTAGCATGAGGTCGAATGGAGAGAGCCGGAGCGCCCTGCTCGGCGTGTCTGCAGCCGGCGTCACGAAGCAGGACTCCACCACCTGCACCCTCCTCCTCGCCGGCCATTCCTAAGAGTAGTTGTGTTGTTGTTTCTCCTTGTTGCTCTAGCTACTACCGGATGTTGTCTTGCTATTCTTCTAGCGCTACTACTACTTCTAGCTACCGAGTTGGAAATGGGCAATGAGGATCGGATATCTTTTGGCATGTGATCGCATATCTTCTAGCTACAAGTACGTATGATAATGATAAAGAAAGGTGATCTGGCTGATGGGGACATACATGGCTAAATATAATATTTCGTTGTTTTCTTTCCCTACAGTTGTATGATAGTGAGCAGAGCTTAGCATTTTTGTAGTACCATCACCATGCTGCTGTGTAACCTGTGTTACCCATTGAAAGAAACTAAACACATTGTTTGGAGGCAGGCGCACGTCCCTCCATTGATTCTCTGTCGGGCCCTGTTAGAGGTAGAGCAGGGAGAGATAGACGCCGGAAGAAGAGGAGAGAAGACAGACAGACACACAGACGGACGGACCGGTCAGTGGGAAAACAGCGAGACGTGATCTCTCCATCAATAATTGCTTGTGAATATGCCATCTCTCTCTCTCTCTCTCTCTCTCTCTCTCTTTTAAGAGGAAGACGATCTCTTCTTTCATATCTATAATCTATAATACCTAAATAGTTCATCCCCACTATGTTATTTCTCTTGACATGCAGACTATCCACGTCAGCAAGTTAGCCACGTCATTGTTGCACTACTGGCTTACATGTGGGACCGATCAGAAGCACAAGCTG